AGAAAAAAGCATAAAGATTAAATTGTATATAAACTCGAATTCATAATTTTGAAAGGATTCAGGTTAAAATAGTCTAAAAGGAACAGATGAAATTTTCTATAAATTAGAATTTAGCAGTTGCACCACACTAATCTTAAAATAACAATACACCAAAAGATTAACATTTACGTCGATTATAATTTATAAGTTTGAAGGCACTCATGTTCAAAAAACAAAAAAGGAAAAGACGAAATTTTCTGTAAATTATACCTTACAAATTCGAAGGCACTCATCGTAACATGTCAAAAAAAGGGGAGATTAAATTTTACGTCGATTATAATCTATAGATTGGAAGACGTGGATGTTAAAATTGCAAAAATGGAAAAGATATTATTTTATATAAATATTAATTGATAAGTTCGAGAGTAATCATCTGAAAATAAGGAATGAGGAAAAAATTAAGTTTTATGTAGATGGTAACTTATATAAAATTTAAGTTTTCCTTTTTTATTATTTTAATATGAATGTCATCGAATTAATAAATTCTAATCTTTATACAAATCATTCGTTTCTTTCTTTTGCTATTTTAGCATGGATGCCTTGGAATTTGTAATGTATAATTGATTTATAATTTAATCTTTTTGCTTTTTTCGTATTTCAGCATGGGTGCCTTGAAATTTGTAATATATAATTTATATAAAATTCACTATTTTGTTTTTTTGCCATTTCAACATGCAAAACGTTTGTTCCGTTTATTTTGAAAGTAATAATAAACAATTAACTCTGCATTTAGATTCGAACTCGTACTGAACAACTCACGTCTTATTTAGCAAATAGGTAGGTTAAAAAAACTAGGTTAAAACTATTATTATACATATATAATAGGTGAAGAGAAAGGAAAAGAAAAAAAAAAGTGATGTACTTTATAATCATTTCAATTGTTATACTGATCTTTTGATATAATGTATTGGATATAAATTATATTTACTGTTTTTTAAATTTATTTAGAAATCAAATTAATTAATAACTGATCCTTTAAGTAATATACTAATCAGCCATTAAATTCACTAATGTCATAATTATTTCATTAACTCCACATTTAATTCATTTTACTGATCGAAAACCATTTTCCTACTATGAATATGCTCTCGAAATGTTTTTCAGCTATTAACTTACAAAAGAGTTTACATTTGAAGAAAAAGTTCAAAAACTCAAATTACTTCTGTTCTATTCAATGTACAATTGGTTGGAAAGATTATATTTCATGAATATTGCACATTATTGCATTTATATTTAAAAGTTCCTCTTACAAAGGCTACAACTGAAAGATCTTTTAGTGTTATAAATAAAATGAAGACATATTTAAGATTAATAATGGCACAATAACGTTTTAATCATGTTGTTATTTCTCATATTGACAAAGAAAAATTAGATTAATTGAATTTCAACCGCATCTGCTCTAATTTTATTTCAGCAAAAAAACAAAATTTAAAAGCTTGTTTTGTTCATGAATAGTAGTTTTCCTTTTAACTTATGATCCGTTTTATTTGCTTTAGTCAAGGTTTAAGCTTTCTTATGCTTTTGTTGATCACATTTTAATAAACTTTCATACTACAATAAATTTTTTTTTTCATCAATTTATAGACATGGACATTGGTGAATGCTGAAATATCTTTTTAATGAAAGTTATGATCAGGAACCTAAAACATTTCTTTTCATCTTTCACGTTATCCAGTCACCATTGTTTGAAAAGAAATTTTAATTCTCCCATAAATTAGAGTTGTTCGACCATGTATGCTAAGATTCTCGTATTAATCGACAAACTATCGCTAATGAAGTCATAATATTTTGTGTATTGTGTGCGAGGATGAAACACATTTCACGTCCAATGGAATAATTGATAGAGGCGTTAGTGCATCTTACCTGTTTGTGTCTATGTGTCTATGTGGCTTATTATATGTATATCCTTTGTTTAGTATGCAACATAAAAATGAAGCGATATTCGACTAATTTCCACAAAGTTTGAAAAAAGATATAGCAAAAGAAAACACGAGATGAAAAATCTGTTGGGTGTCCTATACCTTTTAAATTTTTATCTCTCAAAATGTCCGATAACGACCAATCCTGAATTTTTTTTCTTTGCTTTATTATATCGATATTTCTCCTTATGGAAATTTTAGACAAAACACATGTAACCTTGTTAAAATGAATAATTCTGAAGAATCAACGACTGCCAATAAATACTCGTCATGATTGCTACCAGATGTATAAGAAAATGAAACTATATATATCGAATCTTATTCTCATATTGAATCTCAAGTAAATGTGCAAGTATTGAATAGAAAAAATACGATTAATACATTACTAACTGGAGTAGATTCTAATCGTTCATCAATAAATAAGAGACCTACTTCTGGTCATCGGAAAAATGATCTATTGCCATGGAAAAATGATCCAGCATGTTTCTATTCATCATATTATTATGATGCTCTTGGTATGAAACAAATAAAATATATATAATGGCTTGATAAAAAAATTAATGAAAATGATGGTAGTCCCATGCTAGGCTGTCGTTTATGTGAACCGTATCGTATGATAAAAAACAAGAACGGGAAAGAAAATACTTGGGCTACCAAAGGATTTAATGTATTAGCATTAGACAAGATCAAAGAACATCATTTAAGGTGCAGCCCCCCACTCAAAAAAAGTTGTTTTTTGTCAAATTTATCGATTTTTTTTAAATAGTGCATGTGATAGAGCATCACGTTCGCTATCAAATGCACTATAGTTTATTTTATTTACGATGGATTCTAAGGGTTTTACAGAGGTTTTTCTGAAAACCTTTATTCAAGAAAAACGACGTCTTTCGAATAATTCAATGTTTTTGCGCATTTCAATTTGTAACGGTAAAATATATTTCTTTCTATTGTACAGAATGTTATCTTGACTCTGATTCTGTCACGTAGCGAAATATGTATTTATTTTTCTTTCACGTTCGTTTTCTATGCTTCCATCATGTTTGCTTTGATCTAAAAACAGAATTCGAAGTATACGAAAGAAAGAGGTAATACGAATCTTTTAAACAAATGAGCATAGAAAATATTCGTCTGAAAAAGAAAAGCAGAAGGTCTATTATGAGGCAAATTCGATCACAGCAGGTGAAAAACAAGAGAATGGATTTATCATCACCATCATCATCATCATCATCGGTAAACATAGATGATGTGGATGACTTATTGTATATTAATTTAATTATGATTGATTATCGAAATATGATAACCGTTATCTCAGATTTTAAAAATACTAGTTACTTTATTATCATATCATTCATTAATCACATGTCATTTCCTAATTTCTGATTTTTAAGGTCATTTAGAGGAACCTGCTAATAAACTTTTGTCGTAATATCTTCAGCCATAATGAGTTCAAAGTGTCTTTTATTATTTAAGATGACAGAAAAACACTATTACTGGATGAAAAGTCATAAAATACACTTCTAAAATGTATTTTGCGTTTTTCTCAAAACGAGACTTTGTGTTTTTACGTTTTCGTGCGTCCCAGATTTCTCCGCCATTTTGAAAGCTAGAAAGCTCGGGTTTATTTTAAATCATGGCTAAGATCTGACACTACAACTTAACAGAGTCGGATTTCTCGATTTCATGATTGATATCAGATGAAGAGAAAAAGTTTGAGAACTTACACCCTACTAATTTCATATCATGATGTAGAAGTTCTTTAAAAACCAAACTATAGAAAAATTAAAAAATCCGACTCTGTTAAGTTGTAGCTCCAAGTCTTGGCTACATTTTAAAACCAGCTCAGATTTCCTAACATTTAAAATGGCAGAGAAATCTGGAACGCACGAAGACCTATGTTTTGAACCTTAATCTTAAGCTATCTCTTGAAAGGCTCAAGATTTCAAGCTGAGATTTTTATCATGAGGTGCCCAGTCCAAGATACATATACTCTGGAAATTTCGTTAAGATTAGATGTTCTAAGGCAAAAATAAAATTTTGGGTGGGAGCTGGGCTTTAAATTTACCTTGTTATTACGAAAGAAATACTATTTTCTTTCTTACAAAGATAAAGAAAAAAAATGCATCGTCAACGCTATCATATCGCACATTCACCAGTCATTTTTTTTTGCCAGTATCAATAAATATAGTGAGAGAGAATGTGTTCAGAACAAAAAAGAAATTATTCTCTCGTTTTGATCACATGTGGCAAATGAAAATATATTTCGATCAGATATAATTTCTTTGACCCATGGAAACCTTCAATTAATGAAAATGATTGTTTTTTTTTTATTCATATAATTATTGCTAAAGATCCCTGTCAAAGTTAGGAAGTCAATAACACACAGGTAACGAACTGTGGCTAATAGCGATATGTTGCTATTTTATTCTAAAAGAAATGAAGAGAATATTAAGAAAATTATCAAAAATAATCATAATGGTCATTTGATAGTCTAGTTTGAATGTATACAGAAACAACATGAAATTTAATCATCTAAACATGAAACGATATCTTTTTTTTTTCTTTTCGTTCTTTCTTTCTCTCATAGTTCACCGTTATAAATGTATTCATCATTCTACATTTATACAATTTGTTGTTTTTTTCTCTGCACTACATTCAAGAGAGTCTCTTAGTATTGAGCTACTAGGATATCGACAAGCAAGTCAAAGATAAAATGACTTTAGAAGGAACGATTGACATGGAAAATATAAACATGTTACCATTAAAAGAGAAAAATTTCAAGTTCTTTATTCAAATATAAAGAATTATTTCTCTATATATGGAAATTACTTTTATTATAATGATAGTAATAATAATGATACTTCAAAATTTGATGTGGTTCCGAGTAATGAAAAAATCTCTCATGGTAATCGAGACATTTTCTCGGATATTCGTACTATTTTATATGCTATTATTTTTGATATATTATTTGGATTTTTTATGAACAAAGGCACGGTATTCGTAGCTCCTACTATTCGGAAACAAATGTTATTTCAACGTTTTGCAATGTTAAAAATGTTTTTTGCTGCTGTTGGAACATCAATGTTAAGTGTGGCTTTACTTACTCTTTGTTGTAGGAAATTATATGAAAAAATTCTTAATGGTTATATTGAACATAATAGTCGTCGTGGAAGTAAGCGAAATATTTTTTTTTACAACTATTCATAGATTTATTGTGATTGAATATTATAGTTCTTCATTATTTATTCGGTGGTACTCTGATTGGATTAGGAATGATAATATGTGGTAGTTGTCCAGGAACTGTTTTTGTTCAAGTGTAACTATGATTATTTAAATATTGTTTTTATTTTTCATGTTTTATTAGGGGTTCAGGAATTGTTAATTCTCTATTTACCTGTTTTGGTGGTCTTCTTGGCACATATTTTTATTATATATTTGTACATGAACGAGTTTCACTCGAGAAACTTTCTTCATCATCTCTTGTTCTTCGATGTATTTGTGATTTATTTCATATTCATAGTGTTATTGTTCATATAGTATTTGGACTTATTCTTCTTGGTATATCAATTGGTTTAGAATTTATTTTTCCTTGGAAGTCTTATTTAAATCCGAGGTTGTTTATAAAAGGCACCCTAAATCTAGATGAAGCATTAGGTCATTTTTTGGGTATGGCTGCTTGGCTACCATCAGCGTGCGGTACTGGTGTTGGTCTTCTACAATTTTGTTTTATGTTTTTTCTCGAGAAATCCTTAGGAATTTCATCAGCATTTACTGTATTTGCTGCACAAATTTGTCATATTAAAAAAATTGGTCAATCATTACCATCATTGAATTCATTTGCTTATGAACTAAAGAACCATGTATCTCTTCTTTTTGCATTGGGTGCTATTGGTGGTAGTGCTCTATCATCAAGTTTATGAAGAACAATTCCATTAGGTGCAGAAAATGGAACCAATATACTTAGTAGTATCCTTGGAGGATTTCTATTACTCTTAGGAGCACGATGTGTAGGTGGATGTATGAGTGGTCAAGAAATTTCAGGTAGAAATGAACATCTGTTTGCATTTATTATATAATTAGAAATGTCTTTTTTTCTTATGGTTAAGGAATGACACATCTTCTAGTTGGTTCATTCATTATTATAGCAAGTATATTTGGTGGTGGTATTATTTTTGCTTTTAGCATTTTATTGACTAATAATGAATGGCTTTTTCAAAATCTCTGAACTATCAATCAATTATAACTAAATGTAATGACAAAACTAATCTGAATTTTAAGAAATAAAGAAAACTGACTATTAATACAAACGGATACATCATATTCAATGACCGCGTTTTGTATTTCAGTTTTCATTCACTTAATATATTGTATTAGAAAAACAAAATATACCACAAGATGTAGCGTGAAAAGCTCTACAATTTTGTTCATTTTGAAAATAAAAAGTATAACTATAAAATAAGCAATCTTGTATAAATTTTAAAGCTTTTCACGCTGCATCTTGTGATATATTTTGTTTTTTAATAAAGCGAATTAAATGCTGAAAAATGAAATACAAAGACGCGACCATTCAATATGGCGCAACCTTTAATACACTTATAAAAAAGTTTATCTGGTCTTGTTGGCTATTCATTTTTTTAGCAGCGAAGTTCTTGACGTGGGCTTGATCAGTTCGTCCTTTGATAGTGACTGTAGAACTCGTACAAAGTTCAAAGTCACTATGAATTTCAAAGAATTTCAATGGAAAAAGCAATTATGACGTTAGCAAAATGTGACAAAATACATTTATATATCTGAAGATAAGATAGAATCGAGAAGTTAAATATGTTCATTCTGATAAATTTCTTGTTATTGAACACAACATGTTGAATCGACTAGCATGATTTCCATCTCATAAGAATCTTAATTTATAAATTGTTAATTTGAAATTATCAGCAATATTTCACTAACTGTTTTTGAAATGTCTTCGATATTTTGTTTAACTTCTATCACATAAAGATGAATTTGAGAAAATAAGTGACGACAAATAGTTGATACTTATTACATATGGAACTAGTCTTGTTAAACTTAACATTTGTCTTGAGTGAATGAGTTCTTGTAATCAATAAGAGTTCTATTAAGTATTGTTGGGAAGTAAGTTTTCAGGGAGCAACATTCGTGTTACCATATTATTGTATGATCGACTCAAGCGAGAATGTTTACTTAGGAAGATATTTTTAACGAAGGGTCAATGTTTATCGGTAAAACTCTAGTGGTTTTGAGTTTTTCTTCCTCTATCGACAAACTGTTTCCATTTTACTAAGATATCTGGCTGTATTTGAATAATCCTCACCGAATACTGTCATATGAATGATCAATACCTTCTCATACGATTTTTATACGACGATCGAATTAGAATATCAATCCAATCATAAACAATGTTTCTTCTTCACATACGAAAATAACCCAATGAGATGATATTACTGGAAGATTGGATGGGGTTATAGTCCACCCAAAGCCAGAACTATCAATCCCGTGGATTAACGTTTATTGAATTCTAAAGAAAAAAGACACTAACAAAAAACGGCAATTAAAGCCATCAGTAGCCAACCCGAAACAGTCAGAAAACATGACAAAATTTGAAAAATATAGCTCATAATAAGAATAGCAAATGTAAACAAGTACAATGTACGATGACAATACGTATCTAAAGCAAAAGGATCCGTGTATTGAACAATTGACTTGACACGAAACGTCCAAACACTACCAAGAATAATCCAAATTATCGTAAACAATTGAATTGGCAACAAGCAACAAAGACATAGATGACTATTTTGTTGATCATCCCCCGATAGCTTCTTCAAAAATATGAAAATATTATTAACAATGCCTATGGTACCAGCCACAATTAAATATATGGGAATTTTAGAATCGATCGGACATTGATTTTTATATTTCGCTCCAATAGATATCATCGTAATAGGAATTGCTAGAAGAATGACTAATATTACAATTATAACACAAACCGTAGCCGTTATTAAATGATATTTTCTAGGACTCTTAGGTAAGTCAATATTGGACGGTTTATTTATCGTCGATCGATCTGTTGGCTTGGATTTGGTGGTTGAAAGTCCTACAGGAAATGATCCTAACTGTAGGGTAACTGATGACGTATCAATAGCACCCCTAGTTGTGTACGTAGCTCTAGTAGATGGTCGCTTATTATCTAATTCTCCAACAGTCGGCAATGTTGCCATACAAACGAAGCGATTATCACTCACTTATATTCGAAATAAAACTTGTTTTTTTCTAAGAGTGCCCGTTATTATACTCGTATTTAATCGTCTTATTGTATTTTTATCAGCAATAGTAAAAAACGAAGAAGAGAAAAAAGAAACATGATCATAAACATCTCAAAGATTGTCTCATGAAATACTCAACAGTGCACGTGTAAAATTCTGCTGAAGCTTTCAATGTCAAAGAAATCGCATACTCGTAACAGTAGAAGTCATCATGTCGCATATCATTTGTCATGAGTTGAAACAAGACGTGTTGTTATCACATGATCGCTATTCATACATCACTCTCATTTACCATAATATAAAAAAAGAGTACTATAGAGTATCTACAAAGTCGACTAGCAAAAAAGACCTTGAATATCTCCACTGTGTTTTAATGAAAGTGAGAAATTTATTTCTTGTGATAGAAGAAAATCCCAAGTTTTTATTCTTATGACAGAAGTGTTTCAAGTAATGTTCAAAGCTATTAGCCGTGATTGAAATATAAAAAATGAAGTTTTTTTTTTTTGATCCACCAAAAATACTTCTGATAAAGAGTCCCTAATGATTCAAAAACTTTTGAATCCATATTTTGACGAGTAGGAAGTATTATTTTAGTGATGCATCAGTACGCATTCAAAGTAAATATTTGTTTGATAAGCGTCCAGATGCGTGCTTTTGTATGGTGACTACATGAAAAACTAGGAATTCTGGTCATATCTAATTAATTACTGACACTGGTTGTATCCGATATGATTGTCTTTATTTATTTGAGATCATTCCTAGTCTCAATCCTGTTCATTCCTTGCGAAAGTCTAGAAGGATCTTGTCAAGTTCTATTCGGGATTCTATCTCGAATCCTCGTTATATCTATTTGCAGAATTTCTTATGATTAAATAGAATCCTTGCCAAACATTGTTCAAGTTCCTGCTCAGATATTTTTCTGAACTGAGAATGTAGGATCTGCTCTGAATCTTGATACGAGGATCCAGTCAAGATTTGCAATTACATGAGAGGAGCATCTTAACAAAAATAAAACAAAATTAATCGAAATCCTAAACGAACAAATCTTGCCAAATATCGATCAGGATTCTGACAAAGATGTATATAAAAGGTTTTATCAAGATTTTAGCTAGCTTTTGTACAGGATTTGTAAATCTTAAGATCATAACAAGAATTCTAATGCGAATGTCAAGTAAAATCTCAATAGTAAGAAATGGAAGAATTTTTCAAGTTTTTATTGTGTTTCGTTCCGAATCTGAAGTCTCATAAGTTTTTGTCTTGGATCTTTTAAAGATATTTATTGAAAATAATTTGAGATTTAGACCAGAAATACCAGTTATTTTTGTTAAAATATTTTGTATTTTTAAAACTTTTTCGAGATAATTTGTGTTTACTTCGAATTCAATTTGACGATATGTGAGCTTGTAGTTATGTATAATAACATGGTACAATCCAGTCGGCTAAATTGATCGTTTTTTAAACTGCAAGTCTAGAGATCGATACTCTATGTGTTTATTTCTTGTCTATTCTCTTTAGAAAATCCTGGTAGTTGCAGAAATCGTCAAGAATCTAGTGCGAAAACACCAAAGATTTTCCATTAGGAGTCATTTATCGATAGTAATCCATATGCAGATAATTATTTGAATAGCATAGTATACCCAAGTGAGCTAGCGACGAGCTAAATGTTGAGTATTTTTTCTAATCATGCCCACTCGACGTGTCTAGTCTTTGTTTCAAAAGGTCCTCGACCAAGAACTAGTCTGAAGTCTGCTGTGTCCTTAAACTTCGTCCATATCCCGTCATTGCACACGTATAGTCTAGTCTTTTCCCAGAGAAAGAAGACTAGACAGGTCGAGTCTACATGATGCCCGTTAAAATGTGATTCGAAATTGAAAAAAAAGATTCTGTCATGATGTGCTGTAGTGATATGTACTGGGCTAGTTCGAGCGAGTTTAAATCGGAATATATAATGTGAAAGGTTAGATCCGAACATGCATACAATATATTACTTATCCGTCGTTTAGAAGATTAGATCATATGATCGAGAAATCGATTTCTATATCTCACTAAAGATTCGTAGATTTTATTTAATAGAAATTTTTAAAATTTTCATATGGATAAAATAAAAATTTTATTATAGCACAAAATTATGTAGATAAATTTGAATAAGACGATTTTAGTTTTTGAAATTTAATATTTTTTCTGGTTGTAAAGATTTAGAAAAAACTACTATAGGCAAGAAAAAAAAATATTAAGTACAAAAGTACTAAAATAACATTTCGATTTTTAAAGCATGAAAAATGACGGCGATGCACACATAAATGTGCTGCATATTTTTCACTTAAATGTTAGTCTTGAAGAACTCATTCGGATTTCCACTCTAACTAGTTAAAATAATATGGGTGACAATGTACACATATATTGGTGTGGGAGGGTATGAGCGAAGACAAGACCCATACCCATACTTACATCTAAGTGCTTAGTTAAATTATTTAAGATGATAATTGAGACATGTTTGTAAAACAAAGTTTAAGTGAAAGACATCCAGAGATCTAAATGTTAAAAGTTTGAAACAATTTACAAAGCACCTATTTTAACATATACATCTTAAAATGCTGATTGATTTTTAGTAAAACATACTTAGCAAAATGATATTTATTCTATTATTTCGTTTATGTTCTAAATGCTTCTGATTACTCACCAACGTCAGGATACCCGTCGTGTATCGGATACTATCGGGTTGGATGTTCGAATCCATCTTTTGTCTTCTTTTTTTTATTCTTTTTCTTTTTCCACGGACTAGTCGGGACGGGATAGATAGACAACTAGATATGACGGGATTCAAGGTCGTTGTGGACTAGTCCAGACGTGATTTCAGGACATTTCTTGTCAAGATAACTAGTCATGATAAGTACATAAGACGTTTCAAACTAGACCTGACGGGTATTGCAGACATTTGGGACAAGTCATGTCTCCCGTCTTCACTTGTTTTTTTGCTTACTTGGATATTTGCTATCAGAAGACTTTCGACGTATTTATAATATCCTCTGAACTAAGCTCATATATACCGGGTGGCCCAAAAGTAAGGAAACAAAAAGGATATGCTATAATAATGTATAATAAATTGTTAATTATATTTTTCATACCTTATATTGATATAGAGAGCTCAAATTTTTATCACATATATATCTAGTTAAGGTCTTTTATGTCTGAAAGTTTCAGCTTTCCACATCAATAAAAAGTGTAAAAAAGGTCATTAACAATCTATTATCCATCATGATAGCATACCCTTTTTGTTTCCTTACTTTTGGGCCACCCGGTATATATAACGGTACTTCATTACTAATAGTACAATTGTACTCTCGAGTCTTGAATCGATGATTATAACAGAAAGAGCGCAATGAAAATGAATGAAACTGATCATGTAAAATATGAATAATGAATATTATTCAGGTATGTAAAACTAATATGTCACAGAAACAAAAGCAAATAAACGAAACCATAATATAACAGACTAGGGCAATACGATTAGTCGGTAATAAAGATTTCACCGCATAGAATAATTGGACATGAAAATGGTAAACCATCAATGAAATTAAACAATATAATCGTTAATGATATCATGATAGCGAATATTTTTCTTATGAAATTTTCGATAACATAAATGAAAACTTTGTCAGTCGTTTAATTTTGAAAATATACTATTACAAATAATTATTTTTCTATGAAAATCTATCATTTATATTCATTTTTATGATGTGTATTTCAATTATTGCGATAATAGTATGAAACAAATAAAATATGCAACAGTGTAAAGAACAAGGCATTTTCAATTTATTTTTTTTATTCAAAAATAAACTTGTAAAGATTTATTGACTTTTGAGACTTGTTCTTATCTTAATCAAAAATCTGAAATTCTTTACAAGATCATATTACAAAGTGAATACAACGTATCAGATAGACAATGACTCGAAAAGTTATTCGTCTACCGATGTAAGGTCATCGTATTTTATTTACTATATCTGAATCAAACAAATTAGAGTAATTCAATTATATATCATCACCATATTTGGTTTACATAGTATTACTTCCAACAATGTTTTCTTCATTATTTCTATTTTCTAAACAAGATGATGCAATTATGCCGAATTTCCAATAAAGACAATAAAAAAAGGAATCTTTTGTGATAGACCATCTTAAAAAATTCGCAAACTTTGATACATCGTAAAGAGCATTTTCTTTTTCTCAAAATTACGTAAAACAGAACTAAGAATTGAAATGCAATCTCTATTGAAGACAGAAATACTGATTTTAAATAGCATTTCAACGAGTTTGAATATAGAATAAGCTCGGAAACATTGTAGAACTAAAGCTTGAAAACCTTCCTGGTTATTTCTTACAGCTAAAAGAATATTCCTCATTACTAATAATTTACATGATTCAATCACGGTATAAAAACTATTCTCTGAAACGACAAAATGTTGCTATCATCAAGTTTTGTATGGATCTTTGCTTATAATACTGATATCATGTAAATTATTAATAACGAGAAATATTCTTTTAGCTGTGAGAAATAACCAGGAAGGCTTTCAAGATTTAGTTTTACAATGTTTTCGAGCCTTTTGCATACTTAAAATCGCTGAAATGCTATTCACAATCAGTATTTTTATCCTCGACAAAGATTGTATTTCAATTCTTATTTTTGTTTTACTTAATTTTGAAAAAAAGAAAATGCTCTTTACAATATATCAAAGTTTGTGGATGAATGAAATCAATATATTTTACTATTGCTAATTATTGATTGAAGATGAATAATTCTTCGAAACTGGAAATTCGGCATAATTACATCATCTTGTTTGGAAAATAGAAATAATAAAGAAGACATTGTTGAAAAGTAATGCTATGTAAACTAAGTATGATAATGATATATAATTGAGACATAGCAAATAAAATAAAATGATCTTATATAGGTAGACGAATAATTTTTCAAGCTATTGTATGTATACTTCAAATGATTTTTTCTGTCGATTTGTCTAAAATCATGATTATAAAAGTTGCAGCACCCATAATTCCAATAAAAACTGCACCAAATAAAGCAGCCATACTACCAAGAGACCAACTAGTATTTGCTTCGTGTTCATTTGTTCTTTGTTGTCGTTCTTGACGATCTTCATTTATAATTTTCTTCTTGATGCATCGAATGAGATTGTTATTAATTGTTATCTTTTTTTGATTATTTGAATCTAATCGATCAATTGATCGTCGATGTCGATTATGTATTCTTTCAAGTTGTAAAAGAAGTTTTTTTCTTTTACTAAAATGAATTTGATTGTTATCAAGTAAATGATGTAATTGTTCATTAAGTTGATCAATACTTTCATTTAATGGGATATTAATTGAATATTTACGAAATGAATTAATTCCAGCTGTTGACATTCGAAATAATTCAAAAAAATTAATTTGTTGTTTTTATGAAGAAATGTATAATGACTAATGCAAAACAAAAATATCTCCGTTGTTTGAAGTTTAATGTTATAATTGTTGATTGTATTCACTTTTTTTATTTTCACTCACGAGAACTAGATAATAAATGTTTTTTGACACAAGTAGCCTGGACAAAAAAAACTGATGAGAAAAAATCCACATGTTTTTATATTTATCACATATTGATAGAATAAAGATTATAGGTTTTAGTATAATATACTGAAGCTAAAAACAGAACTTGTTTATTGGTATCATACTATCTAAAATATGTTATCGATGACAAAAGAAAGAAAAGAAGCATACAATGATAATTATTTGTAAAATATTTTCGAGATTATTTGATGATTATCGTAAGAATATTTAATCTACAAAGTGTTACTTTTTGTTATTTACCGGTTTTATAATATGATGAGATATCGAATTTAAGCGAAAGAAAAAGTTGAATTATGAATATGATTGAACAAATTTCAGTTTGCAAAAATAAATGTATCTACAGATGAATTGTAACAAATGCGATCAATGTAATGAAACAATTCAATTACTATTGTACTATTAATCAAATGAATTAACGATACAGTATAGTGTATGTGCGTCCATACATTTTAATACATTTCTTTTACATTTCAAGTTTCAAGATGTATACTGAAAATATTTGTTTTTTATCAAACTTTTTATATTACATCGCTTATATATACCTATGGATTTCTAACAAAATAAAAATTCATAGAGAAAATATTTGCAGAAATTAAATAAAATCTTCGGTATAAATTTATGATAAATATCATTTGAGTACATGTGACCTTGTCTTTAAGAAAGATTTTGGTATTTATTTTTCATACATCAATCAACTAAGCAATCATTAATAAGAATATCAACAGTATCATCAAATAGCTGTAACAATTGAATTATGTTTGTGCCAATAGATATCTTCTCGTCAAAGTTTTTCGATTTATTAAAATGACGTATCTATATTAAATGGAATTAATAAGACAAACAAAATATCGTATAATCAATGATTGACATCACTTAGATTGTATGCACCTCAATAAACAACAATCTACGCTTTATACAAACAAGTCTATGTTGATAAATTTCTTTTTTTTTCCTTGTCTATGCTATTTTCTTTTCTCTCTTCTATAATGAGAGAGACCTGTTTTTGCACTATATTTGATGTATTACAACTTTTTTTTTTCTCACCAAAAGAAAAGGACGCTAATATCACTAAAGAAGATATCAGACATTTAACAGCATATATATCTATAAAGCTTGTAAAGTTGTTTGAGAAGTTTTTCTTTTTCGACAAAATATAATACGTGAAATAAAAGTAAGTCTTATTTTCAGATGGAATAAATAAAAAAAAAAGAAACTTTTTTTGTTTTTATTTTAGAATGTCATATAAGAACGTAGAACATCCTCAATGTCCTCGTTGTGGTCATGCAGCTTTTCATGCGGAATCAATACCAGCTGCTGGCAAAGTATGGCATAAGATATGTTTTCGATGTGGTAAAGAGTTTTGTTTTTTTCGTTCATTGAAATTTAATCGATTTGTTTTTTTTTCAAAATATATTTAGGTCTTTGTAAGAAAATGTTAGAAATTCCAACTTTGGCTGAACATGAAGGAGATTTATATTGTAAACAATGTTATACACGAAAATTTGGTATTCGTGGTGTTGGTTTTGGTATAGGAGCTGGAGCACTTGGTATGGATGCTGGTGAAAGATTTGGAAATACACAATCTCAGTTGTATGTTTACTTTTATTTTTATTTAATATACACATATATGTGTAAATATTTCTTTTAGAAATAAACCCAATTATCCTCCAATGCCTAATCTTCCACCACCTACTAGTTAGAATAGTTTAATACATAATCAATCAGTTCAATTACGTATTGGATATTCAACGAATACATTATGTTTTTTTTTCTTTAATGATTGTCACATATCTTTTATGCTTAATCTATTCGGTACACAAAAACAAAAACTAATAAAGTCATGTGTGAATTTTGATTCAATAAATAAAGATATAGTCTTCGCAAAATAGTCTTTATTTCTATGATCATTCTATCAAATAGTAAATATAGACAAAATAAATTAAATTTGTTCTTACAAAATTGCTAATGATATATGACTTCATTAGATTCATTTCTCATTGCTAATAGAAGTTATTAATATCAATGAAAATAAAAGAAAACAATCATTTATCTATTGTACTTGGTTTTCTCCTTCTTATCAAGATTGATAGTGACATCTCAATATTAATAAGCTATTCTCTTCTATATAGGTTCATGTCGAAGATAATATAAAGTGATGACTGTCGTATAATTAGAACAGAAGTAATATATTAATCGTTGTCAAAATTACATTCTAATACATTAGTCATAATCTAAATGAGAGACATGTCATGTATCTTCAATTAATGGAAAACACAATACATCATTTATAGTTAGAATTTTCAGTATAAATTTGCACATAAATATAAAAAAGAGTTCTCTCAACAGTAAATAAAACAGTCGTATATTGTTTTATAAAATTCTTTCAGAACATTCAGGACAAAAATAAAAGGTCATAGATGCAGCATTGTTTCAATTAGATGATTGTGCAACCCAGTGTACAACTCATCTACTCAACTCTTGGATTATCCGGTCAGCTTCTAAGAATGATGTATATTTTCAAAGTAAAATTTATCCTAACTTGCGGTATTTACTGAAATATGAATTGAGAAATTTGAATTTCATTGATGATTTTCAACTTCTAACTAATCTTATCATAAGTAAGCAATTTACTATTCTTATTCAAATATGAATCCTTCGTTAAGAGCTGTTTGGTGCGAATCTTATTCTAATCATCGTTTTACATAAAAATTGGCTTGATATTACAATAATGTTCGTGATGAATTGCAAGGTCGATTTGATATCGTATTTGTCTCTTTGAATGAGGATTAGAACATTTTCGATGAATATCTTTAAATCATGCCTTGGAAGGTCATACTTTACTTAGGTAGGTCGCCATTTCCATCTATTCAATCATAGCAGTTATCGATTTTATGCTGAATACTTTTTCCAAATCTCTATATGTCGATCGAGAGTGTTATGATAGCGCTGTCATACGTCTAATATTTCTTCACATTTTCACAGAGAAAACAATCATATATTTCCAAGAATCAATTCGTGAGCAGTCCGCGTATAGGGTGTGGGTGTGGATGATAGTCTTTCATTTGTCTACACTCAATCCTACTTACATCCATGAAAAATAAAGAAAATCTTATTAGTGTGCCTGTTCTAGGACTACACCGTATTACTCATCTGTTTGGTAAAAAGCTCGGAATTTTTGTTCTTGATAGCTGAATTAACGGACAGTTACATCTGGAAAGGTCGGAAAACGAAATAAAAAAGCCAGATTTTTAGAAAAATGATACAGTCAGTCCTGCAAAAAAACAATGAACAAAAAATTAAAAGTAAAAATCATCAAAAAAACTTATTTGTTCTCTGAGGAGGCAACACTTTAGAAACTGATTCTTAAGGAAGATCGGTCAAGATGAGTCAAACTTCATATAAATTTGATCAACTCTTGTAGTGGAAGACATAACTGATTTGGATACAAAACATTTCTGTTAGTCATAATCATAGACTTAAACTATAATTTGAATAATCTTAATTTTTTGTAATTTTTTGAATCCAAACAGTACAGCAACTATGCACTTCATCCATGTCTTGACTCATAATCAGTATATTGTCTTTGATTGTTGCTGGAGTCATTCGTATAGTTTTTTACGCAAAGATCAAATATACAACCTTGGTCGTTCGTTTTATGTGTTTTTACGTATAGGAAGCGTTTTATTTTTATTTTTTCATTCTGTCGTAACGCACGACTTCCTTCATATATGCAAACATCGAAAGTGAAGAAGTGACGGTAGATATAACATAACCGATACTGAATACATCGCCTGTCTTCCATAGCCTACCACTTACTGCGCACATAATATGAACAAAATAACAACAGTTAACGCTTTTATTGATGTCAAATTGAGTGCGACAATGTGCAGTTCTTTTAAAGTGGAGAGTACAACATCATTTCCTGATTTCGTCATGCGACCTTATAACATCAAGAGGAAACAACCTATTGTTCAAAATTATATTCTCATAAAAAGCGTTTTATAGGTATCGATCCCTCCTCTCTCCGTTTTATTTGTTTTATCTTTGCCTTATTCGAAGGTGAAAAGGCATTGGGCATATGTATTTGAAGTACGAGATCTAAGCCACCTTTCAACAGTGATTGCACTCTATTTGTACAAAATGTAAGAAAATACCGTGTTGCTTACGATTGAGGAAGGTTGTTAATGACATATTTAAAGATTTGTTCTCTTCCTAGTAATTAGTTTCTTTAATTTATTTAATATTCTTAATGTTTCAGAGGATAACACCGTCCTTCATCAGAAGACAATATACAAAACAGAAAATTTTTCTTTTATATATCTATATATTTCGGTGATTCATTTCGTTCTTTTTTTTTCTGTAATAGGGATGCGGACCATGACGAATTCACCTTTATCGTACCAGACTATTGCTGTCTTGTCCGCACTACTATTACAAAACAAAAAAGAACAAAATGAATCACCGAAGTAAGGTGCAGGCAATGCAAAAATCGACTGAAAATGTTTTTGCTGTTTCTTTTTTACATCATTTGATGGAGTGTGAGTTACTGATCACGAAAAACAACTTTTTACCTTAGGCAAATATCTTTTTCAGGTCGAAAAATATGCAAAATTCGAAGGATGTCGGATTTTTCAAAAAACACATTTTTTTCAAAATATTCCTTATATTTTGCTTCGTATTTCTCTTATGCTTCTGCAAATATTTTTTTCAAATTCTGCATATAAAACTGGGTCTAAGCGAGTTACCAAATCTCATTGGGCGTACTACGTCCAGATAGATTTTGTAAAGCTATCTAGTTT